ACACGTTAGGTTTCTGTGAATTGTGGGGACTTTCCATAGACTTCTATTACTTTTATACTGACCAAACAATTTTTTCTATCCCCTAACCCTAAACCTACCCCTTACAGAAAACCTGTATGCATTGTTACACTTTCAGATAAACATCATTTACTATTTTTACAATTTTTTCCCCTCGTGGGTATAAGGCAGGCCGGTTCCCACAATGTCAAAAATTTCAGGTTTTTCATCATTGTGGGGACATTTGCATAAACAAGAACACACACACACACACACACACGCACACACACACACACACACACACCACTCATACATGCTCTCTCACCAATATATATTTCAAATTAATGCTAAATATAAGTTTTTAACAGTGAAGCTCAATGAAAAATATTTTTGAAAAATTATTTAAAAATAAATATATATACATTCTTTTTCTTACAGTAGCTTCCATTTTTCAAATGTAAAAAAAAAAAAAAAGCTTTTTTATTACTTTTTAAAAATACATTTCCAATCTTACAGTAGCTTCCATTTAGGCTTTATTCATTTTTTCCCTAATGTGTCAAATATCCAGTTCTAGAGAAAAAACAACTTTACAAAATCTATTTTTAAATGCTTTATAAAATAGATATTAAATATATTTTCAAAAAATATATTGGTTTAAAAAAAAAAGTAAATATATTTTGAAACCTGTTTTGGCAAATATATTTATGGCCATGCTTTGAAATATATTTAAAAATGTTTTAAAATCCTTTTTTTTTGCCGTATGGCTCTGAACACTTTAACAACAGGTTTTCTTCAACAAAACCTGACATCCTTCAACCAAAGTCCCTCTTTAGAGTCAGTTAGGAAATCTGTGTCAAACTAATTCTATATTTATATTGAAATATAAAGATGTGACGATTAGATTTACAGCGGTGAACTCTACATATAAAGCTTCTTCTAAGCGCAGCACCGAGCGGAGACGGGTGGAGTGAAAGCAGCTATTAAAGCACAGTCTCACTGCGGCTGGAGTTTAATATAGACCGCACAGAAGCAGAGACTCAAGCCCGTCATTTAGCGCTCAGAATAAATCACAGAACAATACACACAACACCGCTCCTCTCCTGAACGCGCATGAAGAACACACATCTGGGGCAGAAGGAGGAGGAATCCACTGCAAAAACACATAGATTTGTTCTTGTTTTAATCAGAAACTCATTTTGACACCTTTCTCAGACTTTGAATGAATCTGTAGAGATCTGCTCTGGAAAACAAGCCAGATTCTGAGGAAGAGCTGTGAAACTGATATAAAGTGAGAGTGAACTAAAGGTCAAAACTATTAAATCTAGTCCAGACCACATAAACACTGCTCATTAAAGCTGTGGTGTCTTATTAAAGTGTCTCTCAGTGCTGCAGTGAGCAGAAGAAGGGGCTACTGTCAAATAAAGCTTGTTAATGTAAGCGAAAGCTCCGCCTCCGGGCTGCTCTGATTGGTCCAGTGTTTCAGAGCCACGCCTCTGGGCTGCTCTGATTGGTCCAGTGTTTCGGAGCCACACCTCTGGGCTGCTCTGATTGGTCCAGTGTTTCAGAGCC